AAAAAAAAAAAACCAAACTAAACAAAACCACTGATACTCTGGACTTTAAACCAGAATATATCCTAGAAAGAGAAATGAGGGCTGGGTTTTTCTCTGGAACTGGAAGTGAGCTGATTTTTGGTAGCAAAGACAGGTTGGTGCTAGATTTTGTGGAATTTTTGCTTTTTTAGGCTTGTGTCTCTCAATCTAACTCTGGTCAGTGGTCTATGACAGATTATGATCCATCTATGACAGGTTATAATCCATTTTTGCTCTTGGTCATGTATTAAATAGATTATGTTTATTATATATGTATTTTATATATGTATTGTATATGTACGTATATGTGTATTAACATGATTAAATAGAATTATATAATTTTGCTGGCATGGAAATCTTTTTGTCTTGAAGGAAAATTATTTCAAGTCTTAGTGTGTAAAGTTGATCTTTTCAGAGGTTTTTTTTTTTGGCTTTTTTTTTTCCATAGAGTAGAGCAGTTTAAATGTTTTAGGCTTTTTTTTCCAGCCAGCCTGCAGGAAGAGCATTGGAGTGCCTGAGGCAGCAGTGGTCAGTGGCCCGTGTTAACTTGCAGGATCAAATACTAAAGGTCACTGATGCTGTGATCCAGATTTTTTTCCAGTTTTCTCACCAGGCCATCAACTCTGAGATTTTAAATATGTGTTATGTGTGCATCTGCCAGGAGCTTGAGGCCAGGGACCCTTTCCAGCACAATTCAGCAATGGAAAGTGCTGAACCTTTCTGCAAAACAGTAATGAAGAAAACAAATATTAGGGGGAAAAAAACCCCTCATGCTTTCCAAAATTTCAGCCTGATTTTTGTCTTTAATTGATAGGAAGCAGCCAGGCTCTGTGAGCAGCTGGTAGGAGAAATGAACTTTATATTTTGTGTTTACTAATTTCTGGAGCTAACAGCTGCTAGGAGTATGGAGTGTTTGCTGTGTGTGTTTTATGCAGCATCACTGTAACTGTGCATGCAATACTAATTAATTTTGGGTAGGAACTTGTGAGATTTTGCTCTCCTCGAGGGTGGAGAGGCCTCTGTTCCTGGATAAAGCCTTCTCCAAAGTTGTGTACAGGTTTTTCTGGGGACAGCACCATGAAGCCCTTTCACCCTTTGTGTCTCTGGGACTCTTATTTCCTGTGAACTGAAGTATTTCCTATTACTTTTTGTGGCTTTCAAGCTCCTGGAGTTGCAGAAGGTCTGATAAAAGATGTTTTGTGCTTACTGTGGAGGATAGGGCAGAGGGAAGATTAAGAAATGCAGGAGGGACAGGGTCAGGGCACCCTCCATCAATCCTGCACAATACTTCTGCTGCATGATTTCTTTTTAATCCTGTTTACAGAAGTCATCTTCACTTTGTTTTGCAGCTTCTTTTTTTTTTTTTTTTCCCTATGAAAAAGATGTGTGTGTTGCCCCTGTGAGAGTTTCCTGATAATTTGTTTTTGGGGTTTTTTTTTCCTTCTAACTTGTATGATCTGCAGCTTTGAAGAAGATTCCAGTTTTGTGACCCACAGCAGTTGTTCTCCTGAAGAAAATCCTGTTTTCTGTGCCACCACCCCCAGCAAAAACCATGGAGAAGGTTGCATCAGAAAGGCCTGTTCCTGTCTCTAAGGTACTGACAGCTCTTTGTGGAATACTCTTTGCTCATCTTTCCATCACCAGGATTTGGGAGAGCAGTTAGCTATCCTGGTGTCAGCTGTCCAGCCAATGTGTCTTTGTTTCTTAATCAGGCTAAGCAATATTTCTTATCAAGACAATTTATTTTTTACATATATATATATATATATATATATATGTGTGTGTGTGTGTTTGTGTGTGTAAAATATAACTGCCTAAATTAACTGCTTTGTTCCTTACTCGATATGTCTAAAGGCTGCCTTTCCAAAATGTTGTTTCAGAATGATAAAATGTGTTGAAATAAAGAGTTACTGAAGCAGAGGCCCAAGAGAGCTCTGGAAAGTTTTGGATTTCTCCCCAACCCCATTCAAGGAATTAATAAATAAAAAATGTAATAAATTGAAGGTATTAATGCTGGGAGTACTGGAGTGGAAATACAGGCTGAACAAGGGGAGAAACTTACATTTTTATCAGGAGCTCTGTGGCTGGAGAACTTTCCAGGGAAGGGCCATGACCAAGAGGCTGCAAGGCCAGGTTGGATGGGGCTCTGAGCTGCTGTGGAGGAAAGTGCTGGTGAAACCTTTCTGGAAGAGTTCTCTGTGACCACTCAGCCATGCAGAGTCTTCTGGCAGAGTTTTCTAATTAGTCACCAAGCAGTTTTGCTGTATTCCAGCCTGCTTGGAATGGGGAGGTTTCATTTCTGAGAGCTTTTGGGAGTGGGAGAGGTGCCTCCCATGAGAATAGTCCTGTGTCTGTGGAGGATGGTTACTAGTGAGCACATGTGTGTTTAAGTTATCTTTGTGTAGAGCACTGTGGTGAGCTTTTGCTCCCAAACTTGCAGTGCAGGTTCTTGTGTTGGTGATAAGGATTTGGGAAACCAAGATGATGCTGAAATACTTCCCCATCCTCACAGTACCATGGAAACATCAACTCAGTTTTTTTTTCCTTTTTTTTCCTTTTCTCTTCTTTCTCCCTCCCCCAAGAATGAAATCCCTACTTTTCCTTCCCAGAAGAAGCCAGATACAAACTCATGCCCTCATGCACCTGCCAAATATTTAGTGTCTGGTGGGGTGGACGCTGAGAACTGCAAGGCTAATGAGAAGGAGAGGCAGTGGATCCGCCCTGATACACCCAGCAAATGCACCTGGAAGCTTGGGAAGCCCCTCTCTGCCTCCCCCCATCATCATACCACCCTGTAAGTGTTACCTTATATGCTGATTTTCAGCACGAATCCAGGTCTGATTAATCTATGTTTTGGATCAAGGACTTGATGTTGTGAGTTTGTATCCAATGGATATTCCTTTGAAGTAAAATAGCTAAAATAACCAGCCTGATAAAGGAGAAATAAAAAGCAGTAAGTGCTGTGTGGTTGTTGTGTGACCCTTCTGTGAATACACTGACTTTGTTTGTGTCTGTGCCAGGCCAGAGCCTCTGAAGATCCTGCCCAGCATCCTGAATAAAGTTGGCAACACACCTTTGGTGCGGATCAACAAGATTGGGAAGCACTTTGGGCTCAAGTGTGAACTCTGTGAGTTGCTGCAGGCAGAGAACAAACTACAAAGACTGTTTCACAAGCTTGGGTGGATGGGGTTAGTAGTGTCATATAACCTGGCCACAGGAGTCCAGGGAATTGGCAGGAAATGGTGAAGAAAAATTCCTGGTTTTCCTTGGCAAGTTTTCTGGGTTTTAGGATCTGGTGATCTAAAACATCTTTGGGTTTGTACCTCATGAGAACAATTCCTGCAGCTTTTCCATTTCTGTAGAAAACCCTAAATGTTCTTAGTAGAAAATAATTTTTTGAATTTAAAGAAATTGTTTGAAGTTTTTGACTGCTTTTCCTATTCAGAGTATTCATCAGTGTGTGCAGAAGGTAGCCCTGCAGTTATCACTAAAGATCACTGAAAATGATTAAAGGGGTGAAACTGTCAGTGAATGTTTTTTTGTTTTTTTGTTTAGTTGGCTTTTTAAACCCAGCCATACTGTAGATACTGACTCTGATCAGAGTCCTGAAGGGGATGAAGGGATTAATGCTGGGAGTTCTGGAGAGAAACTTCAGTTTGATCAGAACTTTTTTTTGGCTGGAGAACTCACCAGGAAAAGAGAAGGGGCAAAGAAGGCAAGGGGAAAGGGGCAAGATGGGCTTTTAAGGCCAGGTTGGATGAGGCTTGGGGCAACCTGTTCTGGTGGAAGGTGTCTCTGGTCAGGACAGGGGGTGGAGCTGGATGAGCTCTGAAATCCTTGAAGCCCTCCCTGCTGGTTGTGTGTTTGCAGTGGCCAAGTGTGAATACTTCAACGCCGGGGGCAGCGTGAAGGACCGCATCAGCCTCAGGATGGTGGAGGATGCTGAGAGGGCTGGGATCCTGAAGCCTGGGGACACCATCATAGAGCCAACCTCTGGGAACACAGGTAGGGCATGGAGAGACTGAGGAAAGGGTGGGGGAAATGCTCTGGTGCTGTTCCTGGAAGAGGCAGGTTTGAGGTCACAGCCTGTGCAGGGAGGAAGGGGAATTTCTTCCTGCCTGTGTGGTGCAGGGAGCAGTGCCTCTTCCACCTCACATGGAACAGTTCTGCAGTGTCCTGTGCTGACCACAGCAGATGGGAAGGTGTTCTGCTAACTTGCAGAACCTCTTTGCTTTAAAAGAAAGGAAGTGCTAGGCCAGACTCACAAGGGTCTTTAGGAATTCAAGTCTGACTGGAATTATTGGGGAAAAAGCACCCATAAGATTGGTGTTGATGCCTTGTGAAAGCTGACCTAGAATAGAGACTAGACAGAGCTACAGAATAAAGCAGGGATTTATTCAAGGCTCTCCTCCATGGATCCACCTTGGGCAGCACCAGAGCCCAGCCAGGGCTGCACCCAAATGACCCAAAATGGTCCCAAAATGCACGAGCGCTCCCGGGGCTCTCCCTGGGATCAGTTCTGCTCCATTGGCACCTTGGAGTTCATTGTCCCATTCCAGCTCCAGCCCATCAGTCCCACCCTGCTTGTTTTTCTCTCTCCAGCCCACGCTGTTTGTGCTCCTGGGCTGAGGTTTGGATCATTTGTCCTTGGTGCCCAGCTGGAGCAGGAATTGTTTTGTCTCCCTGCTCTGTGCACAGAGCTCAGCATCCCATCATGTGAAGCTCAGTACCACAAACTAAAGCAGCACAGAATCTGGAAAATAGAAAAGCTAAAACTTGAGCCATCAGTGTGAATCTGGATCTTCCCCTGCTTTCTGCTGGGGAAGTGCCATGGTTCTTCTGTCAGGTTTGAGGAACAGCCCTTTCCATGCTGGTGCAGGGGAGATGGGAGGTGAGCTGCATCCTTACAGCACTGCCTGACAGAGCCCCTGCACACCTGGATTGTCAGCAGATTCCACCTGGGCCCACATTTCCTCCTTGGAGGGCTGGAGGAAGGAGCATCCCCCTTAGGTCAGGGGCCAAGGCAGAGCACTGCTGATCTGAGCAGCCTGGAGTTAACTCTGGGCTCCTGTGTCAAAGTTGTTGTAATTGTGTTAAGCTGCTCTACTCATAGGGAGTCAAAAACACCTGGAATATTCCCCCTGGAGTCAAATATAAAATGCACAATATTGTTAAATAGAAATAGTTAAATGTCTAATACACTGCCTCCTGTGAGGAGGTTCATGGGGTGAGCTGGAAGCTGCCCTCCTGCCTGCAGTGCTCAGAAGAGGTGTCTGATCTTGCTCCTAAACTCTTCCCTGGATTTGCACCCACTGCTGCTTTCTGACAGACACAGGGCAGGCAGGTTTTGTTCTGATGTGAGTGCAGGGGATGAGCTGATCTGTGACCAGCTCCCCAGCCTGCAGCAGAAAACTGGGAGGTCACATCTGCTGCTGTTGGCTCAGCTGCTCTGGGAGGGATCAGGGGATTTTGGGGGCATTCAGGGCAGCTGAAGCCTTAGTGAGTGTGGCTGTACCTCCTGCCTGAACAATGGCCTGGAGTGGAAAATATCCTTGTGTGTTGCATTCCTCCAGTATCCAAGGTCTTACCATGACATCCCTCTCTCTGGATCAGTGCTTGATAAATGATTCTATTTGCGCAGAATCCAGAAAGGCAGAACTGAAGGAGATACAGGACAATTACTTCAGAAAGCTGATTTTTTTGGTCACATAAGAGCAAAGACCAGGGCACACAGTAACCTGAGAGAACTGGTTTTTGCTCTCTACTGCTCAGGGCTAGTGGGTATGTTGAATGTGAGAGCTAATGTGTTATATTTTTTATCCTCTCTGCATCCCAGTTCTCCCTCAGCCAAAGTCCTGTTTTGACGTTTGCTGCATTTCCAGATCAGTGGTAGAAAGTACAAAGTATTAGAGTTCAGGTCTCAAAATCCTTTCTTCATCACAGACCATAATGAAGCTCTGGATGACTTCTCTTCAGCCTTTGGCTTTAATGAAGCTGCTGCTGTCTTATTTATTTGTGTATTTGGGCATCCATATTTATTTATAATATACTGAGAAAACTTTCCCTTCCCAATATATCAAACACTGCTTGAGTTGTTTGAGGTGTGAGTTCTGCTTCTCTTTCAGGAAGAGTTAAAGATTATTAGGGTGGGTTTTTTTTTCCTCCCCTATGCAATCCACACAAACCCAGAGCCAGCTGTGAACAGGCAAGTCTCTGTGTAGGGTGAGCTGCATGTGCTGGTGCCCAGAGGAGCAGGGGAGCTGCAGCCTGACCTCTCACACCTCTCAGCCAACCTGATCAGCAGAGAGGTGACCTGACAGCAGGGTAAGCCTCTCTTCCACAGGGACAGCACTGCTGAGCTCAGCCCTTCAGGTGCCCAGGCAGGAACCAGGCTGGAGGTGGAGATTTTCAGAGTAGAAATGAGATGTCTGTCCCCAGCAGCCAGGCTGCTTCACTGGGGGAGCAAGCTGACACAGTGTATTAGAGCCTCAATCACCAACGACATCTAAATAATTTATTTTTAGACAGGACTTCATTTCAGCACATTGCAAATAGGGATTTAAGCAGAAGTGAGTCAATAGAGGCTCTACAGACCTTTTGGCAGAATCCGAGTGATTCCTCTCGCCTCCTCCGGCTTAAAGCACATTCCTTTCCCAAATTAATTCTGGGAAGATGAAGTGGGTGAGACAGGAGGAAGGTGATGTGCATGTGGTAAAGCCAGCAGTTTGCACATGCCAAATTCCCCCACCCTTGGCTAAACTTCCTCTGGGCTGCCAACCTCAAGCAAGAATCAGCACCCGTAAACCCGACAGGCAGAAACTTCCCCTTTGCCGCCCATCTGGAGGCACTCTGGTGGAAATGTGATGCAAGCCAGGGCGTGCCAAGGCTGGCACTGTGGCTTTTGAGCTCTGCTGCTGCTCTCTGAGTGCTCTGCTTGCCTCTGCTTGCTTGCAGGGATCGGGCTGGCCTTGGCGGCGGCAGTGAAGGGTTACCGCTGCATCATCGTCATGCCAGAGAAAATGAGCATGGAGAAGGTCAGAGCTGCCTCTGGTTTCAAGAATTGAAAGATAAACATGTTTGCACTCGCAGAGCTCCTGCTGCAGATCACTGCTGGGGCTTCAGCAACAAAGGTGAAGGCTCTTGGCCAGGGAAAACTGCTGAGGTGCTGTTGCCAGTGCCCGGAGAAATCCAAGTTGGCTGGCCATGGATAGAAAATGTCTTTAAGATCCATCCCCACAGCACTGCCACTTTGAAAACTCCCATAATTGTTTGAAATACAGATGCCAAGACAGCCTGAGGTTTGCCTGGCACATTGAAGTGGTTACCTGTGCCCCAGGTGAGCTGTTCCTCACTGAGCAGATGGTGAAGGAGGACAGTGCTGAAGCTTTGAATATCCTGCAAATATTCTGGCCTTGGGGCTGAGTGTAAAGGGAGCCTATTTGAGGGTATTTTGGGGTTTTGTGACCAGCTTTATTTGCTGCAGGTGGATGTCCTGAGAGCTCTGGGTGCTGAGATTGTGAGGACCCCAACTACAGCCAGGTTTGATTCTCCTGAATCTCACGTGGGAGTGGCCTGGAGGTTGAAGAATGAGATCCCCAATGCACACATCCTGGACCAGGTGAGAGCCAAGGTGTCAGGGGTGCAGGTGTAGCATGGAGGAGGCTCTGTGGTGTTCTGGGTTGTCTGTTCAACACTCTCACTGTGTGTCTGGAGGAGAAGATGCCCCAGATCTGGAGCTGGGGCTGAGCAGTCACCACGTTGTAGGGAAGGAAGTTTTTACAGTCACTAGAGAGCAGCAATGAGCTGGTGTTTGCCAGAACTACAGCACTTAGGGTGTCTGTTTCCACCGGGCTGGCAGTCCTTGAGGAAGAATGGACACAGGGGTCATGTTGCTAGGACTGATTTTGGCATGGGAGGGTGCTGGCACCTTAGGACTGTGCTTAAATAGGTCACTTAGGAGGCCTAGTTCCAGATAATACACAGTGAAGCATTCTGCAGAGAGTGTGTTTAGGTGCTGTGGGGTTTGGGGATTGTTTGAAATGTTTTTGGACTCGCTCAAAATGTGATTTTTGTACTTCTGATCTGTTTTTTGGCTGATCTGCCTTTCTATTTAGTACCGCAATGCCAGCAACCCCCTGACCCACTACGACACCACAGCTGAGGAGATCCTGCAGCAGTGTGATGGTAGGTCTGCTCCACTGCTGAACCCCTTCAAAGAGCCCTGGCAGTGCCCTGTTCTTATGTGCTTGGAGAATGAGCCCTCAGATGAGAAAAGCATGGATTTTGATAAAGCAAACCCCATGCACGTGCTGTGTGTTGTTAGTGAGTAACCATATTTCAGTAGTCTTAGTAATGGGTTTTTTTTTTCCATTTGGTTTTTAGACTTCTCTGCCTGCAAGCAGGTGGAGAAAGTAGTGGTGTTTAAAAAAAAAAAGAGCCCCATAGGTAGACTGGTATGGAATGGGGTCAGTCTTTGATCACAAATGAAGAAATAAGGGTTTTAGCATTCCCAGAGCAAATACTCCAATACACTGGAAGCATCTTCATGTAGGAGTCCTCAGGAGCACAAGCTGCTCTGTGTCACACTGTCAGCAGCAGGACCCTCTGGTCTGCAGGGCTCTCCTCAGAGCTGGGCTCGTTCCTCAGCTCAGGAGCTGCTCTGAGAGCTGCTGGAGACATTCCCTGTGATGCTGCAGCCACATGGGCATTTCCATAGGGCACAGAAGGGAGTCATAAGAGGGCTCCAGACCTGCCTTATTAAACAGTGCAGTTTCTGATTGGACCTTCTGATGAGAAAATCAGCAATTAAATTAATTTCCATGAAGGTGAAGACCATGTGGAAGGTTCTCCTCCTTCCTAAAACTGGCTGTTCAGAGGATTTGCCTTGTCTTTCTGTGACAAACTTTGGGTTAAATTGTGTACACTTTTACAAGCTGCCATCCCACAAACTGAGAATCCAGATGAATTCCAGATTTAGTCTTCTTGTTTCTGTTTACTTCCCCTTACAGCCCAGGCATTGTTCAGTTACCCCTGCTTAGTGGGGTGTAATTCTCTTGGCTGCTAAGCAATTGATTTTGTGTGTGAATTGGTGACCTTTTAAAAATCCTTTTTTTCTAATTAACAAAGCTGTCATGTGGATGCACCAGAGAAGCTGTAGGTGGTGACACAGGGATGAACTATCATATCCACACTCACTCTGAGTGCTAGTGGCCAAAACAGCCTTCTTCACATGAAAATGAGGGAGTAGTTGTGTTAACATTTCTCCCCAGGGATGCCTTGCCATGCTCTTGGCACTCACTCAGTTAATTAACAAACATAATGGGCTGCTCAGTCTAACTTAGAGAATGACTTGTCTGTATCAGCAGAGACAGGAACAGGAAAACTGCAGCAATCAGCTCTGTGGGCCACATCCAGCTGTGTCCAAAGTGCCACAGATTGGTGCCTTGCCAGGCCTCTGGTGGACATTTCAGCACCCTTGTTGGAGAAAATGATGATTGAGCAATGCAGTTTCAAGGCAGGTCTCACCACAGCTCCTAGGAAGCAGAATCCTACCCTGCCCTTTTCAGCCCCTTTTTGCCTTTTTGTTGAGGCAAGTCCATCCTTAGGTGTAAGTGGGCTCTCAATCCATCCTCCTGCTGGAGATTTCACACTTCTCTCCCACACCCTTAAACAGGAAAGGTGGACATGGTGGTGGCCACAGCTGGCACGGGAGGTACCATCACTGGCATCTCCAGGAAGCTGAAGGAGAAGTGTCCAGGGTGCAAAGTAAGTGAGAAGCTCACTGCTTTTGTCTGTAGTGTCTCCTCAAACTGCTTCCCTTGGCACATCCCACTCCTTGTAAGCCTGCCCTGGCTCTCTGTGGGAAGCTCTTGGGGTTTCTCAGTTAAAAGGTAGGTCTGGCTGCAGAGAGGGTTTCAGTGTTTGAAATCATTGTGCTGTGGTCCCACTGGTGACTAGAGTTCAGGTTTGGCTCAGCAGATGAACCCTCAGATCCTCCATGGGGTGTCTGGGAAACTTCCTTCTCTGGAGGTTCCTTCTTCTGCTGTGCTCTGCAGCCTTGGGTTTCCTCCCTGGCTGTGCCTTCCCCAGCTGCTCTGGGGTTTTGCTTAGTGGAATTCTCTGCACACAGCAGCCTGTGTGTTTTCCTGTGTGATGTGTGAGATTTCCTCACAGAACTCGGGATCCTGCTTCAATCTTGAGAATTTTCCTACACAGGCAGAGAGTGGTAAAGAAAATAAAACTGATCTGCTTGCACTTGGCACAAAATGAGTTGTCTGTAATGATGCCTGGCATGTGGACGAGGACAGCCTTGTCTCAGGGAAACCCTGTTTTCTGTTTAAACCAAGCAAAACCCATGTGTAGAACAAGTGGGGCCATCGGTCTGAGAGGTGGGATGGGTTTCCAGGGGGGCCAGAAGCAGCAAAGCCTTTTTCTCCCAGGGGAGGTGAATGTTGCCAGGAGGAAATGAACAGGAGAGCAGGTTGGCTGTGTGCCACCAGCAGCTGTGACAAGGCCAGTGCTCACAGGGGCTCTGCTCTCCAAAGCTGTGTGTCTTGGTGGCCTGAGTGGAAACTGCTCCTCCAGATTATAGGTGTGGATCCTGAAGGCTCCATCCTTGCTGAGCCAGAAGAACTGAACAAGACTGACAAGACAATGTATGAAGTGGAAGGAATTGGATATGATTTTGTCCCCACAGTGCTGGATAGATCTGTAAGTCTCACTGCTTGGTTTACTGCCCTTTGCCCTCTGCTGGGATGCAGGACTGAGATTAAAGGCAGAGGAAAACCTGGGGAAGTGTTGAGCTGAAATGGAAGGGTTAGCAGACAGAACTATTCCTGTTCTTTCCATCAGCCCTTGAAAGGCTTCTGAACTGGCCCCATTAGTTCTGCAATGCCAGGTCAAAATGCTGTGGTAACATTTTCCTACAGCACACACTTATGCTTAAAAAAACCCCAAAACACACCCAAAAAAATCAGTCATGAAGCACACACCGTAAAAATAATACAGACACATAACAAAGAACACCAACTTACCAATCACAAAAAACCCCACAAAACAACAAACCCAAACCTTCCAGCAGAGCATCCCAGCCCCTCCTGGACAAGGTTAAGACTGTCCCGAGCAGAGCCTGTGTCCCTGGGAAGCCTTCCAAGAGGGGAGGGAGCTGATGCTGTCTGAGGCTGACTTACAGCAGCCTGCTCTCACAGAAGGGTTCCAGTGAGGAGCCTTTTGTGCTGATGTGATCATCTAACCTCTGCAAAAAACCCCACTTGGCATCTGGAGGAGGATGGAAACCCCGGGCTCAGTAGGGCAGCTGTTCCCTCAAAGAGCCAGGGCTGAATTCACTCTTGTGCAGTTCCCCTGTCCTTCCTGAGTCAAACAGAGCCTTGTTTCTGTCTCCTGCCCCTCCCCAGGCAGTGGACCAGTGGTACAAGAGCAATGATGAGGAGTCATTTGCCCTGGCACGGATGATGATCCGCGAGGAGGGGCTGCTGTGTGGTAAGAGCAGGCAGGAGCCCTCTGCCTTTCTCTGAGCAGTCCGTGGGAGGCTGAAGCCTTGTGCAGATCAGAGACCTCTTTCCACTTCAGATCTTGTCCTCCTCGCTCTGGGCTCCTCTGTTCTTTCTCCTCCTCCCTTTCTGATGGCTCTCACGTGGTGGTTTGACGGTGTTGCCCCTGCTGTGTGTTCTGGCAGGGGGCAGCTCGGGCAGTGCCATGTCTGTGGCTGTGAAGGCAGCCAAGGAGCTGAAGGAGGGTCAGCGCTGTGTTGTCATCTGCCCTGACTCCATCAGGAACTACATGTAAGGAACTTGCTGCTTTTCTCTCTGGGACAGGGGTCAGGGAGTCCCTCAGACCTTGGAACACCCACTTATCCCAGCAAGGAATGTCTTTGGGGCACAAGTTCTGAGCTGTCTAAAAGGGGTCTGGCATGGAGCAGGGATCTTTAAATCTGAGCTCTGATTTCAGTAGATAATCACTGGTTAGCATTTCTCACAGCAAACACCTTGCTTTCACTGTGTTATTTGTGGGGGATCACTGGTTATCCCATTCCTGGAAGGGTTCCTGTGCCCACAGCAGGATCCAGTCCTGCTGCAGCAGCAGCAGCCACGCTCAGGGTGGGTTTGCAGGCAGAAATGTCAGGGCTTTGAGCTGAGCTGGAAAGTTTTTCTCCAATCACATTGAAACATAGCCCAAAACATGGTATTTTTAGCTGAGTTTCCTCACCCATGTTGCATCCAGCTCAATATTGGACAAACAGCAGCTGCAGACAAGACACATCTCCATTCCAGGCAATTGCAAGGGGCTGATGCAGTTGGAGCTTTGTTTCCTGTGGGATTCCTTTTTGTCCCCATGAGTATTTCTTCTCCATATCCCTGGCTGCTAAGTTTGGATGGCAAATGATGTCCTCTTCCCACTTACACTTTATCTGTTGGTGGCAGTGAGCTGTGAGCAGTTGTCTCTGTTTGTTGTCAGATGTTCAACCCCTCCTGATGAGCTTTTCACTTCTGGTGCTCTGCAGGTCCAAGTTCTTGAGTGACAAATGGATGATTCAGAAAGGGTTCATGAAAGAAGAAGACCTTGGCAACAAACCCTGGTAAGCCAGTCAGATCCATTTGGATTTCCATCAGTCTACTCAACTGAGTTTATAGCAGCTGCTAATTTAAAGCTCATTTCAATTCACACTTCTCCTTTGATTTAGCTGATCTTCCATGCTATTGTCTTGATGTATAATTGCAGCTGTTAATCAAATCTATTTTAATGAGTTCATATCCTTCCTTGAGTTGTTTGGCAGCAGCAGAAAATTTGGTACTTAATGAGTGGGGTTTTTTTAATGAAAAGCGTTGTATCTGGAATTAAAAAAGGAAAATATGCAAAGAATCCTTCCAAAATCAGAGTTATTGAGTGCAAAGCACTGCAAGTCTACATAGCTAGAAGGGAATCTTCCCTAAATTGTTGCCTATAATGATGGTAAATACAGATAGGTCTTTGAGTAGGAGTGCAAAATTTTCTCTGTGAGAGGTAAATAATGAAATTGGGCAGATCAGTGCTCTCCACTGACTATCTGTAATTGTAGAAAGTAGGTGAAATGAGGAAAGGAGTTTGATTTTCAAGCCTTCTCACACTTCAGAGACTTTCTGACGTTGGGAATAACCCCTGAGAGCCCTGAAGCTTTGTTGACTCTGGCTGAATCCTGACTCTGCCTTGCAGCCTTTTGTCATTCCTGTGGTGCTGGAGGCCACTGTGCACGAAGGGCTGGCTCTGTGTTCTCCATAAGACTTGCATGGGTTTGTTTTTCACTCCCTCCCCAGGTGGTGGAATATCAGCATTCAGGAGCTGAGTCTTTCTGCCCCCCTGACTGTGCTTCCAACTGTTACCTGTGCAAAGACTGTGGAAATTCTCCGGGAGAAGGGATTCGACCAGGTACCAGTTGTTGATGAATCTGGGTATGTCCACATATATCACTCTTCATCCATATGTTTCACTTCCCTCACCTGGTCCTCAGGGGTGTCTCTTAAATGCTTGCTGGAAGTACTGGGAGGTGGAAATAATGGAAAGGTGTCCTCTCACCCATCCTTTTTTGTTTATTAACGTAGTTCAGAAATGTTCCCTTGACCACAACAGTGCTGGGCTTTGTGTTTTCATGCCAGGATTGTCCTACCCTTCACATCATTCTAATGATTATTATGATATACTTACTCACTGTGTCTCTGCAGGATAATTTATTTTCTTTTAATAATACCAGGTGAACGTAAAGAAAGCAAAAATTCCTGTTTAAAACAACCAACCCCAAATGTGCCCATGTCTTTCAGAGCTTCTTTCAGCACACTGTGTTACAGTGCAGTGCTGCAGTGACCCCCATGAACCAGGGTGTCCCCAGCAAGCTGGAATGTGCCTTATCACCCTTCAGCCCTCCTGCAGACAGGCTGAGCATTGAGGAGTTGCTCAGTTGTGCTGACCTGAGGGGTGAATTGTTGTAGATCCTCACAGGGAGAAGGGAAATGAGCCACACTGGGGTGACCTTATCTCTGGCTGTCACACCTTTCAAAAGGAGAGAGGAGAGTGTGAAAAAAAAAAAATGGAGCAGTTTGTGCTTTCCAAAAGCTCTCTGAGATTGCAGGTAGCTCTCTCCAGTTGCAAGGAGCAGAGATGAAAAGGTCCTGGTGCTCAGAAGGACCTGCAGCACCTGGTGTGTGAGTCCCCAGAACCTCTGAGAGCTCTACTCCGTCTCCTGCAGACACACAGAATCCAAGTGTACCATCAATAATGCTGCATTATTACCCTGAAGTAGCTGAACTGACTGCTCCAGGCTGGCTGAGAGTGAATGCTTTTTTCTACAGGAGCACCTGAGGCTGTTGTGTTGTTTATCCCTGTCTTGTCTGTCCTTCCCCAGGGTGATTCTGGGCATGGTTACCCTGGGTAACATGCTTTCCTCACTGCTTGTTGGAAAAGTTAAGCCTTCTGATGAAGTCAGAAAAGTAATCTACAAGCAATTTCAACAGGTAGGCAGGTGTATTCTGCAGCTCCTGGTTCTCTGGTTGCAAGTACTGGAGTAGGTGTGCTAACAGTGCACAGGCTGGGTGAGGTTCACCTGGGGCCATGCCAGCAGCTCTTCTGAGCACAGAATTTTATTTTAAAAAGGCTTCACTTAGTTTTCACCAGGATTTAAGTTCTGACACTGTCCCAAAGTAGACTGAGTGCTGTGTTCTGGAAGTGTGTTTAATCCTTCTGCTCAACCTGTGAGCCACCCAAGGGTGCTGGTTCTTTATGGACAAATGTAAATTTGTTTTTTCCTCCCCAGACAGATAATCCAGCATCATGGGGAAATGTGGTGTGTAACACAACTGCCTAGTTCATGTTCTCCCTCACTTGGACACCTCAGGAGTTTCTGGGGCTGGTGGCGTGGGATGGTTTCTGGGGCTGCTCTGGTGTTGGCTGCATCAGCCAATTCTCTGCACTTCTGAGGCTGTGGCTCTTGCCATGGGCAGCTTGAAGGCTTTTTTTAGTAAAGAACAGTTTAACCATTTATTTTCCCTTTATTTCTGGTATTTTCTTGGTGGAGGCTGGAAGGGGAGTGACACAAGCTGTGGTACTGCTGACATGTTAACTAAAAATGGTTATTTTCCATTTGAATTGATGGGTTAATGGAGAAACATGGTGGAATGCACATAACCTCTGAAGTGTTGTGGATTTTGCTTTTCTTGCCACTTTAGTCAAGCTGATTTGGCTTGTTTATGAGTGAAATTGGGAAAATGAATCACCTGTGTCACCAAAATCACTTCTGATATCCTACATGGGATACTACAGTTTGCATCACATAAGAGGCTTAGCCTGCAAACCAGGGCAAAGGTACATTTTGGAAAGATGGGTCTTTTGGCTTTTTTGGGTTGCTCAGAGAGGATTTCCCATCCCTGGAAGTGTTCAAAGCCAGGCTGGATGGAGCTCTGAGCAACCTGGGATAGTGGGAGGTGTCCCTGCCCATGGCAGAGGAGCTGGATGATCCTAAAGGTCCTTTCCACCCCAAACCATTCTGTGATTTTATAACATGGGCAGCCTGCTTTGGTAGGATCACCTCAATTACTTTATGATAATCTCTTAGAATGGAAGCAGAAGGTTTAGAGCTTTTTTGAAGGTACAGTTGTGCTCTGGGGATTTGAAACACCAGTCACAGGATAATCTGCCAACCCAAAAAAGTGCTAGTGGAGGGAGGAGAGTCAGATGTTAGTTCCAGTGGTTTGGGTTCCCACTCATGTGTAGTGTAGTCACTGCCTAGAGACCTAGTAAGCTTAAAAACAAAGCCTAAATGTGGGAAAACACGTGGGCAAAATGTTTAAGGACCTTGAACAAGCAGGTGAAAACTCTGTGGGGGTTCTGTTAAATTTCCACTGAGCATCTCTAGGCATGTTTATGCCTTCATGGTTGTCCCAGTGCTGCCAAGGGGCTGCTTGTCCTGGTTATTTGTAGCCTGCCCAGTCCCTGAAGGCAGATTTGGGACTGAGGGGTGACTCCATGTGGCATTTTTCTCACCTCATTCCTTTCCTGGCCCCCAAATTTAAGGATTGGTTCCTCAGTCTGGACTATAGCAGGTGTCTTATACAGAGGCTGCTGGAATCCTCTGACTCCCAGTCAGAGGCAGAGCTCTGTGTTCCAGTGCAGCCCAGCTGCTCATGCTGTGGCATTTATTTCTCACAGAGAGGCTTTTTGAACCTGCAGTGCAGGACTCTTCTTTGCTGTGGATTCCTTTAATACAAGGATGTCAGATGGTGGGTGCTGGGGAGAGTTCACCTGGTTAATGGAGCTGCTGCTTTATCTGTTAACTCATGTTTGAACAGTTTCAGGCATTTTTTGAAATGACTGCAGCAGGTGATTGCTGAAGTGTTTTGGAAATATCTGTATTTTTTTCAGAGTTCACACAGGGTGCTTTCTTGCTCAGTCTTGGCAAAGTTGAGCTTCACAAAGAAAATTAATTATTAAATCTCTGTTCCTTGATTTGCACCTGAATCCTGTGTAAGCTGAGTAATCTTTCACCCTTGGTTTTGTTTTTGTTTTGTTTGGGCTTTTCTACCTTTGCAGATCATATTTATTTTCACAATTATTTGCAGCGTGATTAGTTCACTTTTTCAGTATTTTTAGAATAAAATCACCAAATATAAAGTCTTTTATAGTCACCTCTTTTGTTGAGACACATGGAATACTTGACCTTCTTTGATTATTAGCACTTTTCAGATCTTCATTAAATTCATTATGTTTACAGAACCAGAAGGAATAACTTCATCTTGTGCTTAGTGGTTTTTTGGAAATTTGAAACAAAGAAAACTGATCTTTTAAGTTGGCCTTGATTTGTTGGTGTTTTCTGGTGCTTCAGGTGGGAGCAGTACACAAATGCTGATGTATTGATTTTAGTTCTGTACAAAGTGTATGGGGATTATTAACTGCTAAAAAATGGAAAGGGCTGTTTTATTCAAGTTCTGTAACTCTCTCCTCAGATTAACCTGAAAGACAACTTGGGGAAACTCTCTCACATCCTGGAAATAGATCACTTTGCTCTGGTGGTTCATGAGCAAATTCAATGTGAGTACAAAGTACTGCTCCTCGTGAGAGCAAATCTTTGAGTGGTAACAAGGAGCAAGTGAGAGTGTGAGTGTGTGAAGTGAGCTCTGAAGAAGAAAAATCCTCATTCTTTGTCTAAATTTGTGCTACTAAGCCTAATTTCCATCCCTGGAGGTGTTCAAGGCCAGGCTGGACATGGCTTGGAGCAACCTGGTGTAGTGGAAGGGGCCCCTGCCTGTGGCAAGGGTGGAAAAAGATTATTTTAAGGTCCTTTCCAACCCAAACCATTCTAGGATTAGTAAGACTAAATAAATCTTCAAATCTGAGGTTTATCACTCTTATATGTGAAAAATACTTTGTCCTGTTCAATCTTCCTAATAGCAGACAACTTTGCAAAGTTACAAACACTGAGAAATGAGACTCAAAACAATATTAAGTCATGCCAGATAAATTTTAATCTTCAGCTTCTCAGTAATAACTGGAAAAAGAAAAGCCAACTCATTTGGGGTTGTTCCTGATAATCTCCATAAGGATGTGCTCTTGGCTCTGAGCTGACCATTTATAAACCAGGAATCTCACTGGAAGTTTGCAGTGAAATAGAGATTAAAAAAAAAAGCCCAGGACAGTCCAGCTGACTGAAAAAACTGAGTAGAGAAGTAAAGTAAACTAAACATCTCAGTACAGGCAGACTTCAGGAACTGGAATTTAGACAATTGATAAAGGGTCATGTGGCCACTTGGTTCCCAAGTCAAGGCTTAGGCTCACAATGAGAAAATCACTTGAACCTGTGCTGTCAGTGCAGCAAAGACAAAATGGTTAGTATATTTTTTGGATATAAATGGGGCATTGTGGGTTTTATTCTGTGGTTGACAGGGATGGAGGAAGATGGTTGTGTCACATTTCCTCCTCAAAATGTGGTTCCATTGGGCCATTCAAGTGGCCCCTTGTTCCAGTGGGGTAATGCCACTTGCAGCTGTTTCGAGTAATTAATGTTTGAGGAAAATACACTTCATAACAAAAGGGCCTGGTTGGAATTTTTGTGTCAAGAAAAATAAATCCACTGGCTCCTTATTCTTCCTTCCATAAAGTTTCAGTGTCCCTTTTGATGAGGAGCTTTCCTGAGCTGAAAATCCTCGTCATTGCTCCGTGACTCTTGGCCAAGGTGCTTTTTGTGCCAGCATCACCCAACAGCTCCAGGCTCAGCCCCCGATTTTACAAACACTGCCACTAAAACCAAGGAGAAGGGGGTGTGTTTGTGCCTCCTGGAGCCAGAACTCCCTTTTTTTCCCTGCAGATCACTCGGATGGCTCCTCCAGCAAGCGGCAGATGGTGTTTGGCATCGTGACAGCCATCGACCTCCTGAACTTCGTGACCGCGCGCGAGCGCGGGAGGAAATCCAACTAAAGCCAAGCAGCAGCCTGGAGCCTCCTCAACACTCTGCAACCTCTAACAAAGAATCAGCTTTATGTCTTAAGTAGAATGTTTTTGGGTTTTTTTTGTTGGGGTTTTTTGGTTTTTGGGGTTTTTTTTTGTTTGTTTTTTTTTTAATTCTAAAAATAAGCAGTTAGCTATCCTAGTGTTAGCTATCCCACCAATGTGTCTTGCTGTATTGCCCAGCTTCTGGGACTTGTTTCTTAATCAGGCTAAGCAATATTTCTTATCAAGACAATTTATTTTTTTACCTATATATATATACACATATACATATATATGTATGTGAAAAAAAATGCTGCCTAAATTAACTGGTTTGTTCCTTACTCGTTATGTCTAAAGGCTGGCTTTCCAAAATGTTGTTTTAGAATCATAAAATGTGTTGAAATAAAGAGTTACTGAAGCAGAGGCCCAAGGGAGCTCTGGAAAGTTCTGGATTTTTCTCCCCCCTCCTATTTAAGGGTGTTAAGTTAAATATTACTTTAGTGTTAAGTTAGGTATTACCTGTGTGGAGACAAAATTGGGACTGGGGCATGGGGAGAAGAAAGGAGGGTTTCCCTTTTGGTGGCATCATTGTAAAAGAATAAAAAATCCTCAGGGCTGAAGCTGAGGCTTGCTCTGCTCTGAGGAAAAGCTGGTGTGAGTTAGAAGCATGGCAGTGAAGTGACAAACAACAAGCAGTGACACTGTTTTACACAGTGCACCAGCTTTCCCTGCCATGACAGACCTATTTGTTTTTCCCAATGGTCCTGATAAGTAAGCACAAGTAAGAGAATATTTAAAAGTTAAGATGAACCATCTTGCCCAAAGATTTTTTTAAATTATGCTGTTTCATCTGTTACCTTCCTCTTCCCTCCTCACCCTCTTATTTATCTCAGAGTCCCTTTTTTTTGTGACTGTTTTAGGAGAGCAAAAGATAATCTGTCAGGAGCTGTGAACTCTTTCAAGTCTTGTTCAGGTACTCTTACTCTGTAGTGCCTCATTCCAGGAGAAAAGCCCTGCATTGGCTGCTCCTTCAGATTAGGGCTGTTGCTGAAGGCAAGTGACCCATCCCTATCTTAAACTGTGGTTTGCCATTAAATTCACACACTTCTTCAAGATTTAAGACAATTTTTCCCCAGGGCTCTGGGGAAAAATACTACTATAAATCTGAAAATGTACAACTTCAATAGTAACTGAAAGTTTCTAAAGGGTGGTGAATTCCTTTCTGCAGTTGTAGTTGTCACTGCTGCTAGGTTTTAGCATTACTGCTAAAACTTTACTGGCTTTTATCTGATGGGGTTTTTTTCCCCATTTTCCATCTGACCTTTGCTGACAGCAGCAGGGAGGGAGGTGCTTGAGTAGCTGAGGTTTGTCCTTTTCCCTTGTCAAAGCTCCATGTCCTGACCTAACTGAATTCAGCAAGAAACATGAGAATGGTAGGAGGAGGTTCCCAAAGCTGCTTTTCAGAGCAGCACAAGGGGGGAGTTAAAGGTGGGGCAGCAAATTAGTCAGTTATAAAGAAGTGTAAAAATCTGAATCTGTTTTTCTGCATCACTGTTCATACGTGAATCCCCATAGTGCCATGAAAACTGGCAGTATTGTGGACTGAGGCATAGGGGGTGGTTAGAAATGGTGGGGAACATGGGATGGGAGTCTAAAGCATCCCAAGTAAGCCAAAGGATCCCAAGAATTCAGCTGCTCCCCTGGGCTTTGCTCAGAGCAGGGGCTGTCTCCTCTCTGCAGGGGCACAGGGAGGAGAAGGCTTTTCTTACCCACAGCAGCAGCATGGTGAGACCAGAGGAGCTGGGTTGATAAATGGAGTTGCTGCACAACTGAAAAACTTTCCAGAGCTCTTTCCCATGGCAGGGATGAAGGCAGCAGAGAGGAGGGGATGGGGAATCCAGCAGGGCTGAAGTTCCTCTGCACGAGCTTCTAAATGTGATGCTTTCTTGCGTGTCTGAGAACCTCATTGCTAGCCTGGTCCTGGTTAGTTGTGGTAGGGCTGATTAAAGCTGGGCTTGTCTTTGTTTCAAATGCTCTGAAGACCAAGAAAGACACTGCAGTTTGTTCAGTCTTTTACCTGAAATTGAAGGCCGGAGCCTGAACAGAACTGTATTTTTTTTTTCTGAAGTGAGTGCCTGCATCTTCTGTTTACCTTTGCTGCTTTTGCAAGCACTGACTAAACCTGAAAACTATTTTGCACAGGGATATTTTTATCAACAATTTATGCTTTATTTGTTTGTCACGGTAGGAGATTCTCAGTCCTAATGTTGGCTCTGCAAAAATACTTTTTATTTTCTCACCTGAAGACAGCTATTCAGTAAAATCTGTAAAATCTTTTGCAAGCAGTTACCAGGCAATGACTTAAGGTTCATTTTCTCATTGTCATGTCCAGTGTTATTTCCCATTTCTTGTACAAGCTGTGGCTGACTCCAGAACTCTGGCTAGCAGGGGTTCCTCTAAGCAGCCAGACCAATCTCATATGCCCACCAAGCTCATTTCTGAAAACTTCTGTTTGCTATAAAACTCACACAAGGCTCATTGTCAGAAGTTTCCTGACATTGTCCCCTGTCATCCAGCAGCTTTTCTTACTGTGTAGTGTCAACTAAGGAAAAGGGAAGACTTCTTATGCTTCAAGGAGCTGGGAGAAATCACCACTATGAGCCGTGTTTATTGCACAGATGTGGACAAATGTACAATACAAAGAGTTCAATAAAAGCTGTTTGATTGCAGAATGGCTCTGGGTTGGTTTTTTTTAATGCCAGTTCAAGCTTGTGGGTGTGTTAGACTGTAAGAAAGACCCCTGGCTGTCAGTGTGAGTCTCTGCAGCTCTTCCCATGTCTCCAGAAGGAGGGAAGGAGGCCAGTCCTGCCAGCATGGGCTCCTTGCTGGGGGTTCAGGTGCCTCCCCTGCACACAGTGCTCTGTCCTCAGCCTCGTCTCCTTACCCCAGTCCAGCAGCACGGGGTGACTTCATCTTGCACATCCTCCTCACGTGATACCCAAATTGCTGCTATTGCTGGCAGATCCCTGCCTTCCCTTTCTCTTTTGGCAGCCCCCTCAGAGGAGGAAAAAGGGACCTGGATCTGTCCCAGCCTGAGGGCAGCAGGCCAGCATCCCTCCCATGCATGAAGCCATTTCAGCAAGAGGCCAAAGGCTGCCCAGGCACAGAGAGCTGCAGGAAGTGCGAGGGATCAAGTTCCACCTTGCAGGAGCTGGACAGGTTCAGGAACGCCTGGTGAGGTGCAGCAGGCTCTAGGCAGGCTTCAGCTCCCAGCCAGGGCAGCTCCTGAGGGAGCAGAGCTCCTCAGCAGCTCGGCAGCAGCAGCAGCAGCCCCAGGCTGGGGCTGGGAGCAGGGCACTGCCCAAACCCCATTTCTGCAGGAGCTCCTGACAGCTGAGTCACAGCCTGATGACAGCCCCGGGACCGAGCTGCCCCTCCTCGTGGGTCACCAGCAGGAAAATTACTGGGTACAATCAGCTGTGCTGGTTCTGCAGATAAAGGGAGGACTTCAGTCCAGGAAGGTGCCTTGTGAAAGCAATAAATTCTCTCTGGGGGAGGAAAAAAAAAAAAAAAGCAGCAGAACCACCAGGCCAGGCTCGTGGTGTTGCTGATGGAAGTGCTGCTAGCTTTTGTCACGTGCTGGAGGATGGTGGGTGAGGGCAGAGCCCACAGCAGCTGACTCCAGGGCACTGAGAGCAGCCAACTCACCTGCCACCACCCTGTCCTATGGAAAAATCCACCTCTGCTTCGAGGAAAAGCCAAGTGCTGTTCACACTGCAGGTTCCACTGCTCTTTCAGGAGCTAAAAACTTGCCATGGTTTCTCTCACGCCTGCCAAATAACATATTTGGGGAGGTCAGTGCCTCCTCCAGTGGCAACCAGCTGGGTTTGTGTGCCCAGACAGGCAGGGCAAGGGCTCTGTGGGCACCCCTGGCCCTGCATTCCCAGCACTGCAGGTCCCTGGGGAGGGCAGGCAGTGATTCTCAGTGAGATGCAGCAGGACACAGGAACGAGCTGAGCTGCCCCATGGCACGAGCAGAGCAGCTCTGACAGGGAAGGGGGGACACACGGTGTGGTGGCAGCTGCTCGTGCCTTGTGTCCTTCCAGGAGCTGCTAGCAGCTCTGCTCTTCCCTGGATGTCCCTGGAGCCTCCAGCAGCAGCTGCAGCATCAGGGGAAGCTCCTCAGATGCACTGAACACTCCATGGGTTGTACTGATGCCTTTTTGGGGCTACCTAAAAACAGAGGCCAGACAAAATTAAGGGAGTAAAAAGCAGTTCTATTTATGGAAGGATCTTCAGGTGCATTTTGGGCAGACGAAGACCCCCCCCCACACCCAGGGGCTACCCAAAATGGATATGGGTTTTCATGCTTTTATAGGTTTGGTCCATTTGCATATTGGGGGTTAATATTCCAATTACAGCTTCAGGTAATTAAGTCATTTACCCCAAGTTTGGTTTCCCCCAACTCACTCTTGTTTGTATTTCTCAGGGCCTGAGACCGTGAGGTGTCCTTGATCTCCAGAACTAGGGAGGAATTGTGTTGTGTGACCAAAATGTGAAGACAGTAGCTAACACTGTATTTGGACTTTAGAGCTATGCATGAAAGAATTACAGGTTTACAAATATATGAAAAATATAAAAGCTAAAATCCTAAGGTATCAGTACAAGCAAATGGTGACCTCTCCTGAAACAGGTGGGTGTGATCAGGTGCTCCAAGGCAGTAACAAAAATGTCACTTTTCTAACCTATTCCTGCCTTGGCCTGGGACAGCTGGAATCATCTTTCAGCTGCACTGCAGTAAGACTTCTACACCAAGTGTGTTTAACAGGTTAAAAAAATACTTTAAACAGCAAGTGACAGCCTCCCTTTTCCCCAGATTACCCACATTATTCAGATAGCAGATACCATCACCAGTGCTCCAGCTCACAGGCCAATTCAGCTCTACCAGCAGCAGTTTTAACCTTATGCCCTCACAGCAAGATGCTTTTTCTCTGCTGGCCAAAAATAAGCCAAGAACCAAGGAAAGCCTGTTCTGCCCTGAATTACTTGCTAGGCCTTCCCAAAACATTCCTAATCCTTCCCCTGTCATCTTCTCAAGCCCTGATGTGGAGTTTCAACTGCTTTGATAAAGCCATTTTGAACATTAAATTACGTGGGAGGGAAAACATGGATTTCTTCCCTCTTGGTACAGCAGAATTAGGAACATTTTAAAACCAGGTTGTCTCTTCTAGGGAAAGAAAAAAAAAAAATCAGTGGTGAGGGTGACTGTGGTCACTCCAGGTCTTTCCTCCCAAGTGCCTAAGAGTAAAACCCAAGTGCTGCATCCCCACAGGGAGGATGGTGTGGGTTGGAAAGGATCTTAAAGCTCATTTCATTCCACCCCTTGCCATGGCAGGGACACCTTCCACTATCCCAGGTTGTTCCAAGCTCCCTCCAGCCTGGCCTTGGGCACTGCCAGGGATCCACCCTCACAGTAAAGATGAGGTGAGAACTATAAAACTCCCTCTGCAAGGATTTTTTGGATGGTGTTTTAACAGCAGAGTCCCTCTCCCTGGGCGTGGAGTTTTGTGTCACACCCTCTCATGAAAGCCCAGAGCCATCCCCCATTCTCAGCTGCCTCCCCCCATTTTTTTGGCTCTCCAAATTGCTCTCTCCAGTTGTTGCTTCCCAGCTTGGGGGTGCTGATGTTTCGCCAGTGGAATCCTGCAGGTTAAATGCTGCAAGGCATTTAACTTAACAAGGCATTTAGATGGGGCAGTGCAAGCCTGCTGGGGAATGAGCACCTGTGCCCTGTCCTGGCTTGTGCTTTTTAAACTTGGTGACACCAGCACTGCAGAACAGCAAGGTAAAATTAGATTTTCTGATGTGTACAGGCTGTGAAATACCTGGTGTTCCTGTGTGGGTGGGAGCATGGCAAAGATTCCAGTGCAGACCCCAGCCCAGCTCCTCCTCTGCTCCTAACCCAGACACAGGCAGAGCAGGAAAACCCACACCAAAATACCTGCTGACCTCAAAAAAACAAACAAAACAAGTGTGTATGTGACTGTAGGGCTGGTGATGCTGAAGAGCCCAAGTGCAAAGCAGCTCTGTGGATGGTGGTGGTGAGAAAATATCATGGTTTAAACCCAGCCAGCAGCTAAGCCTGACCATTCTGGTCAGATGCAGTGAACAGCTGTAACCTTGCCCTCCCCAAAAGGGGACTTTTTTCTATTAAAATCGCCAAACTTGCCATTTAGACCTTTATTTACTTTTAAAGAAAGTATTTAATTTTAAAATGTATTTCTCTAAAGTATTTCTCTAAAGGAAGCATCTTATTTCAAAATTGTCTTCTGTCCGTACAATACCCATCTAAATCTTGTTTCTTTGCAGATTGAAAAGATTCCCATTTCTTGCAGTTTGGCCACTAAAAGGAAGAATCTTATTTTTGAGCACACACTGCTTCAGGAGACAACCAGGAAGGGGTGGCTGGGTTATTCTGTAACTACAATGCCCAGAAAACATCATTCTTGCTGGGGTTGGGGTTATTTGCAGACTCTTCACAGGAGAGCTGCATGTTCTCTGTCACATCAGATAACCCATAAGAGTTTTCTGTGATGGATTACCTCTGGCAATGTTTTCCAGAGAGTTCATTTATTGCAAAAAGACCAAAGGTAAAGTCATCCCTGTGCTAATACACACACCAGTCTTGTCTTCAAAGGTCTAATTCCAAAATAAGCATTCTGACAAGCCTTACTGGGGAAAAGAGAGACTGAAATTCTCAGGGGCTCTTCCTCTTCAAGCAAAATCTGCATCCATGTAATTTCCTGATCCCCAGGAGCTGGAATTTGGGAATCACCATGGAGCAGAAGCTGTTCAGTGCTCTCAGCTGCTTTAATAGTAAAGCAGTTGCATGAGAAGCAGGAGACAGAGGTTTAGGGCTGGAGGTGGCGCAGAGACTAACCCTGGGATCCCAGAGGACACAGACAGTGCTCACCTCAGCACACTGTGTCATTTCTGTCACCACTTCTGCCTGATTCAGCAAGGCCCACGCTGACGCAGATGAGCCGGGTTTAAGTTCCAGTGCGAGACACGAAACCAAAACAGCAACTAAATCCTACAAGCGGCACCAAACCGCTGGGGGAAGGGTTCAGAGCACTCCTGAACCCTTAAGCACGTATTAAAACAAACAATAAATTGCTTATCTTCTCTTTTATACCCCAGTCACCTCCCCTCGCAGAGCAATCAGGTGCTGGGCACAGCGAGATGTGGGGCAGGACCCAATCGTGTCCCCTGCCACCAGCACATATTAACTGGGGCTGAGGCTCAGCTCAGACACTTGCCTGACGGGCTGCAGGGGTGAGTAGTGGCTCATCTGTTCCCTTCCTGGGAAATGGGGACCCTCAGTGTGGTGGGGAGGTTTGGAATTTGGCAGCCCCTGCTCCCCATCCTGTGCAAAGGCTGGTTCTCACCCGGGGAGTAGCTGCGCCTTCAGCAAGCCCTGAATGAATCAGGCAAGCAGGGAGGATTTGGCTTCACTCTACGAGGTCAGTGTGGTGGGGGAGAGGATCTTCTGGAGAGCTTGTACAACTCCATGCTTGGAGGTTTTCAAGATCTAAGGAGGGCAAAGCCCTGAGCAGCCTGGGCTGAATTTAATGTGCTTTGAGCAGGAGGCTGGACTGGGACCTCCCAAGGTCCCTTCCAGCCTGGGTCACTCCATCATTCTGTTAAATTGATGCTATATTTTTCATAT